GAACCTGGCATGGGGCTGGCCCCCCATGGGGCTTAGTGCGCCCTTGTAGACAGGTGTGGTGTTAAGGCTTTCAGAGATGAGTCGCTTCTCCATCCCCCAGCTCCTCCCCCTTCAGCCCTCAGGAAGCATCCTGTTCTGGGAAAGTGATAAGGTAATTGTCTTGTTCCCTCAGTGGAGTGTTGAACAGCATTTCCCAGCACCCTTGAGTGGCCTGGGTGTCACCGCAGAGCCTTCCCTTGGGGAGGGGGTGGAGCTGGCATGGGAGAGGAGAGAGAGACCCTTGAAGTATGCCCCTTTACCCTCACAGTCCCCCTTCCTGGGTGGCAGGGCAGGGGTCCCCTGTCTCTGGTGGGCTAGGATCAGAGAGGCGGTTTCTGCCCGGGGTTGCTCAGTGGCTGGGGACAGAGCCAGGGACAGGGTTTGGATCTCCTCAGGCCCCTAAGGAGGGAGGTGGCAGGGAGGGCAGGTGTCTGCAGGGCTGTGGGCCCATCCCACCGCACAGAGCAGCTGGCAGAACAGGCTTCCGATCTGCAGCTGTCCTGGTGGTCTCGGCTTCTGCTCGGCCCCTTCCTTCTGCTCACAAAGACCTGGGCCGGTCTTCCTTGGCCTCTGGCCCATCTGCTTTGCAAGGTAGCAGCAAGAAGATACTCATGTCATTAAACTCCTTGGTGACAGCCCTTGCTGGAGTTTTTCCCTCAGTTGGGAGTGCAGGAGCCCAAAAAGGAAACGCAGAGGCATCTGGGATCCAGGAAGCTCTTCTAGGCTTGCCCTTGGCCTTGAATCTCCACTTGGGCCAGCCTGCCCCTTTGGGAACTGGTGGCTCCTCCAGCAGGGCCACACCTGGACCAGCTCCATTGACAGTGGCTGAGCCTGAAGCCCACAAGGCCTCCAAGTCCCAGCCAGTGTCCTATGTGGCTGGATCTGCAGAGGAGAGCTTGATTCCTGGGTCTCCAGAGATGGTTGCTGTATCGCCATGGCTGGCTTCCAGCCCATGGCATCTTGATGTGGGGCCAAAGTCCAGTGAGGTCCGCAGGTTGCCTGTGACAGTCCATGCTCCTGCCCCTGCAACACTGAGGATATCTGTCACCTCTGGATCAACCTAGAAGCTAGTTGGAGCACCCCCTCCCCCCACTACTCCTGCACCCACATCTGGATCCCCACAACCGCCGGCCTGGCCCATGGGCAGGCACACCTTCAGCCCCAATGCCTGGAGGCCGTCTGCATCAGGGGCCAGTAACTTGGGGCCAGGGGCCTCCCTACATCTGACATTGGCTCCAGCGGCCCCAGAGAAGGCCGTGTCCTCAGCACCCCAGGGCCCACTTGTGTTTACATCCATCCATAACACGCTGGTTGCCACAGCACCTCTTCTCCCTGTAGCAACAGGGTGGTCCGGGCTGGACACGGCCTCCACAGCCCTCACAGTGGGTTCAGGGTCACCCAGAAGTGGTCTGGCATCCAGCCTGTGCCCAGGTCCCAGTGGTCCTTCAATGTTGCCATTGCCCTCAGTGGCACCCTCTTCAGGGTCGTCATCAGTGTCACTGCTACTGTCATCCTTACCTTCTTTCCAATCACCTGTACCTCTGTCTTCATCAACATCACCGTCACCAGTCCTGGTCCCAGTTTCCTCTTTCACCACCAAAGCCAGAACCTCTCTAGATGCTTCTGTGTCTGTGCTCCCACCCACAGGCACAGGCCTTATCTTCAATGTATCCAGCATCCCACCTGCCATGCCACCCCTAATGGTTACAGGGACAGCCGCTCTTCAGTGGACAGTCCAGCCCGGGCAGATGGTCCCTGCCATCCCAGCCCGCTTGACCACCTTCTCCCTTGCATGTGCCTTTCGCCTTCCCTCTGGCTGCCTGGGTGTCCTTGGAGGTGCTGCCTCCCCCCAGTCATCTTCCCTGCCTCATCCTGGCCAGGCTGTCTCATTGGAGGACTCAGGATCCCCCTCCCCAGGACCCAGTCGTGTGACCCGCTCCGTGGCCTTCAGAATCACCAGTGAAGCCGTCTCAGCGGCGCTCAGGAACCCTGCCTCCCTGGAGTACCAGCTGCTAAGTGAGAGCATCCGACACCAGGTTGGCTTCTTCCCCCACCCACTGAGGAGTGCTGACCCCAGCCCGCCCCACCCCACTTGCCTCTGAGCACGTAGGCCCTGGCGCGCCTCTGTGCTTTGGCACGTGCTGTTCCTCCTCCCTGGACCGCCTTGCTGCCCTTGTTGCCTGGAGAAGGCTGCCTCCTCATAGACGCCTCCCCTGGTGGCTGCCTTTCCCACACTGCACCCATCCCCAGCCTGCTGCTCCCGCAGACCTCAGCCCTCTGAGGGCTGCCAGTTAAGGGCCGGGCATCCACAGGGCTCTGGCAGTGGTGAATGAACAAAACCCACCCTGTGCCTCTTCTCGGTGTGGGGAGGAGCAAGTGGGGGGCAAGGTGGGAGCCCAGGAAATAGAAAACTCCCTTGAGTTGCTCCAGCAGGAAGGGGGAGCCAGGCAGAGGCCCTTCCAAGGAGTGGGTTTGGAGAGAGGACCCTCCCAGGATGACCTGGTCCCCCCAGGGAATTAAATGGGGATCAGTGTGTGGCCGTCTTCTCTGCACAAAGTACCATCAGAAACAAACAGGCTCTCAACAACCCTCTCCCCCACCCTGCCCCCACCAGCAAGATGAGAGTTCCCACAGCCCAAACCAAACCCTCCTCCTGCCTCAGAACCATGGACAGAGACGTGCCCTGGCCTCTTGCCTGTTGTCTGTCATTCCAGGGGGCACTTTGAGTCTCTGTCCATCTGTTCAGTTGCTTCATTTGTTCATATATCTAATAGAGTGCCTGTTGTACCAGGCACCATGCTAAGTGCTGGGAGAACAGTGACCAAATGTCAAATTAATGTCAAACAAATCCAGATGTTATTAGAATCGTAAGCTGCGTAAAGGAGTTGTTACAGACAGGACATGCAGAAGACTGATTCCCATTGCTGGGGTTAGGGAGTTGCCCAGACAACACCTTTCTGAGAAAGGGGAAGTTTAACTGGGACAGAGAGAAGGCAGCCAGGTGAATGGGGAGGGGCTTCCTAGGCAGAGGGCACAGCATGTGAAAAGGTGGGCAGAGGCTGAGAGGCTCAGGAGGGGCTGTAGGGAGAACAGAGAAGGATGTGAGGTAGGGCGGGGGGGGGGCGGCAGGAAAGGACTGGAAACAATTAGGAGGCAGAGGGAGAAGCTGTCATCTGGCTGAGATGGCTGGGTGGCAGCTGTGGGGACAATTGGAGTGGCCAGCAATTTTCAACCCACAGAGAAGGAAAGGCCTAGGAGGGCTGTGTGTTTGCTGGACTGCTGGAGCTACCCTGTGATTTTCAGGAGGGTGATTGGCAGGTGACCTCTGGCGGCTACGTGGGCAGTGGCTTGGGTGGTCCCAGACAGTCCAGGTGGTTGGTGAGGCCATTGCAGGGGCCAGAGCAGAGATAATGGGAATGGATGAGGGTGAGCTGATGCTGTGGAGAAGTGGAGGCCATGAAGACCCTCAGCTGCCTCTGCCTGTCCTCAGCTCCAGTCCATCTATCTCAAGGCCTTCTCCAGCTTTGAGGATGTTGGCGTCCTGCTCTTCAGGTGAGTGAGCGAGTCTCTCAGGGTCCACCACCTGCCAGCCAGCCAGTTGGTGCCTTCTTGGGCGACAAGAATACTCGCCCTGGCTGCCAGCTCTGCCCAACCCCACCATGGCCAGAAGCACCTTGGGGGCCAGGAAGAGCCCTGAACAGGTAGGCAGGAGGCTCACATCTGGTTCTGTCCCTGGCTGTGCTGTGTGACCTCAGGTAACCTCCTGTCTGCTCTGAGTCCCAAGTTCAAGCTACAGGATTTGAGCAGGGGTTGCAGGCATTGTCTTGAGTGTCATGGAGAAGGCGGGGACTTCCCTGGAGCCAGGAGCCCCTAAGTGACATGTAAACAGATGCAAATCCCCTGAGGTGGGGCCCTTTGTGGTTCTGAGCTTCTGGGGATGCTGGGGGAAACCAAAAGCCATATTTATCAGTGGTCAGATTAGCCCAGCAGTCTCAAAAGGAAGGTTGAGAAGGTCCAACCCGACTTGAGTTGTAAGCTCAGTGTGGATCTTGAGTCCTATAGGCAAATCTTTTCCACTGCAGTCACTTAGAGGCTTGATTTCTCCTAGTGATGGGGAGCTCACTGTCACTATCCTTCAGGCCTTGTTCCCAGCCGGTTAGAAAGTTTCCCCTCTTACTGAACTGAAATCTCCCTCTCTGAACTCCCTGTCCTGGCTCTGAACAGAAGTTTGGTCTCCCCAACTCCACAGTGACACCACACTAAACAGGTACTCAGCGGAAGGATGGAGGAAAATGATACTGGATCCTGAGCCTGCTTGTTTCCAAGTTTCTCCCCACAAACTCCTTTAACCCTGTGCTGAGGCCAGGCTGCCTCCTCAGGACATGGACAGTTGGTCCACCTCTCACAGGCTTTCAGCGATTCCTCGGGCTTGTCACCTCCCTCTCTCCAGACCCCCTGCTACTTTTTTGATGCTGCCAGAGATGTTTTTCTCATTCTGGCTCAGGCTGACTTCCTGATTGCTCACAGCCACTGTCTCCCTGCGTGGGATTCCCAGTGTTCTCATTAGAGCCAGTTTGTTGGGGTGTCCAAGGGAACTTGCTTTCCCTGCGCATCTGCTTTGTACTCTGCTGGCTGCACCATCAGTCCTCATACAACCCCACGGCAAAGGAGTCATTGTTCCCATTTTACCAAGGAGGAGATGTCACACAGGGAATCAGTCCATGGCTTCCCTAGTGGGCTCCCCTCCCTCAGGACACTGGCAAACTTGTGCACCAGCCAGGTCCCCATCCAGCCTCCAGGGCCCTCCCTGCCCGCCCTGGGCCCTGGTCAGGATGTGTCTTGTCCACAGGCCTGGGTCTGCAGCTGTGAATGTTTCCCTTGTGTTTTGGAGCCATGCCCCAGGACCCTCTGCCCGTGAAGTCCTCTAGATTCTGTACAGCAAGATCAAGGCTGCAGGGCAGATGCTGGGGAACCTGTCTTTGGATGAGAGCAGCCTGGCCTCTGATGGTGAGTCTCTGCCCCTGCCTCCTCCCGACCTCGGTGCCTCCTCACCCACCCATGGGGAAAGCTGGGCAGTGCTCCCTAGAGGGGCCAACTCCTGCCCTGGCCGGAGCAGGCTGCGGTGGGTGAGGAGGCCTGAACTCCCAGCCATGGTTCTGCAGGGTCCAACTTGACCGACCTGGCGCTGGAGACCATCAGCCTCTGCCACACGGTCATGAGGCCTTACTAGCCCCTGCTCCTTGTGCCTGGCTCTGCCCCCTTTATTCTGCTGGGAAAGAAGATCCTCCGACAGGTGAGGCAGCTTCCTGCCCTCCCTCTGAGGCCTGGGACACTCCCTTTGCCTTCCTTGACTGTAGGGCCCTGTGGCCTGGGAGTGAAGCGGCACCCAGCCATGGCACTGTGGGGTAGGCAGGCATGGAGGGCACCGGCCCTGCCCTGTGGGCCCCCAGTTGAGGGTGATGCCCTGCCTGGGGCCAGGGTTGTCTGAAGCCGGTGACAGCTCTGTCTCAGGGTGCATATGGCCAGGCTCCATAACCAGACACCCCTACCCTAGGCCAAAACTAGGGTGAGCGAGTGAGGCACTCAGGACAATGTTGAAGGAGACACTGCCCCTTGGGGCCATGCTCCACTCGCCTCACCCTAGTCCTGCCCCGCCCCACGTGGGGTCTCAGGAGAGACAGCTCCTGTGCCTGCCCTGACCACCAGGACACCCCACAGGTCACACCCGTGGTGTCAGGATTCTATACAGTGCGTCCCCAGGAAGGCCCCCTGCTCCTCTTCAGGTGGGTCGGGTTCTCCCCCTGCTGCCCAGCCTGCCCTGCTCCTCTCCTGGACGGAGGGGCGGCTCTACCCCCTGACTCAGAGGCATGGGCTTGGGGGCCACCCCTGGGAGGGCTTGGTCGCAGGTAGCTCCAGCTAGCCGGGTAAAGCTCTGCCCTAGGAGGCAGGGAGCCCCATGCCCGAGGATGTGCCGGGGTAGGGGGCTGGATACCTGCTTCTAGAAACATGTGCGGAAGGAGCTTGTAACCCACGCATTCTCCCCTTGAATTCACCCTATTAATGAGGACCAGTGGGTGGGCGTTTACATCGAATACAAATTCCAGACCCCCATAGGCACCCACCTCCAAGGCTTGGCCAATCACCTGGCCTGGAACATAACAGCCCACTGTCCAGAAATCCAGCATCACGGCCAGCGGTGAGTCAGGGCTGGGACCCCTAGGTGTCTTTGGCCAGCAGCCTCTCAGTCTCTCTGGATTTCAACGTTCCTCTCTGGGAGTAGATAGAATTTATTTTAACCACAAATACTCATGTGCTGGATATGGAATCAGATATGTAGCCTTGGATGGGAAGCTGGACAGAGATGAGAATCTGGGATCAGAGAGAGGGGATGGTCCAGCCTCCTCTCTTACACTCTTTTACTTCTCTCACCAGAACAGGGAAAGGTTAAAAACAAAACCCAAAAAGGCATGAACTGAATTAGCACCAGGACCTCTGGCCCCACATCAGTTGTGGGACTGAGCGGGGTGGGTCCCATCATTCCACTAGATAGACTAGAGCAGGGGGCGGCAAGCTTTTTGTGCTGAGTGCCAGACAGGAGCTATTTTAGGCTTTGTGGCCATCAGATCTGTCAGTACTCGACTGCTCCCGTACAGCGAGAAGGCCGCCGCAGACTGTCTGCAGACAGGTGGGCGTGGCTGTGGGCCAGTGCAGCTTGATGGATACGGAAATTTGTATCTCACATAACTCTGATGTGCCACAAAATATTATCCTTTTGATGTTTTTCAACCACTTAAAAATGTGAAAATTATTTTTAGCTCACAGGCCGTACCTGAACAGGCAGCTGGGCTGGACTGGACTGAACCTCAGACTGGATTTGGCCAACTGCTGGCTGAGAGCACTAGGGCTTGGGGTGCGCAGCCCTCGGGCAGGGCTTGGTCCTGTCCCAGAGCCCGGGCTAACGCTGATGCCCGCCTCCCTGCCACTCTAGGGGAGAAGGCAGAGCTGGTGCACTATGAGGTGCGGCTGCAAATCCTGGGCCAAGCCTTCACAGAGGCCTTGAAAGACAAGACCAGCCCTAAGTCCCAGGAGCTTCGGGGGATGCTGACAAGATGGGCGAGGTGGAGGTGGGGAAGCAAGGAGCAGTAGGAGCAGGCGGCCTCACGGAGGGGACCCAACAAGGCTTCAGTAGAGCTGTGACCCTCCTCGTCCTCTCCTGACCCCTAGCTGACCTCCGTCCTCAGCCTTCTGCAGAACTTTGGCCAAGTGGTGGTGGAGTAAGTCCCTGGTGGCTCTGGGTGACCTGGGCTCAGGGCTGGACTCGGGGGGTGGAGCCAGAGGCTCAGAGAAATGACCTCCCTGAGACCCCCAGGCTGTCCAGCCCCCTGACAGCCATGGTGATCCTCCTGCCAGACCCAACCCACTGACCGCCAGGGTGGATGCCACCTTCTTCAAGGCCGCGCCAGCTCGAGCTGTCATGCAGGACTGCATGCTCCCGGGTCTGCATGCCCTGCAGGAAGTGGAGGGCCTCTCAGTGGAGGTGGTCGGCCCACACCTCGGTCAGCGCCTCTCCCCCTGCTTACCTCTCTGGGTCCTCTACCCGCCCCTCAGGCTCCTTGTCTTGCTGCTCCTGCACCCTGATTCGGAAGCCTGCCTCCCCGGCTGGTCCCCAGAGGGCTGCCGTTTAGGACCCAGGCTGGCCCCTCCTCCTCCTGGGAGCCCTCCAAGGTGGCTCCGAGCTCTGTTCTTGCTGGGCCAGGACCCCTTGCCTGGGACTTCTGTGGGCCTGGCTTTGCTTTCTCAGGGGTCTGTGGTCCGGGAGGGGGACCCACCCCAGCCATCATCTCCCTGCTCTGCTCCAGGCACCCCCATGTCTGAAGCCTGAGGTCAGCCTGACACCTCCCTCCCCAGCTGTGCCGTGGCTCTCGTTGTCCTGGGCCTCCTGCTTATTGCACTTGTCCTGGTGAGTGTCTGACTGGGCCAGGGGCTCTTCTTTGGGAAACAGGCTCGGCCCTTGACCCTCTGAGCCGAGCTGAGCTGAGGGGTCACTCCTCACCTGAACCCACACACTGGAGCTGAGGGGCTTCCAGCCAGGGAACTTGGCCCGACCACACCTTTCCTGCCCCAGGTGCTGAAGTGGAAGGCCAGGTTCCGAGGGTTCAGCCACACGGGGTGAGGTACGAGGGTCACTCCTCCCTGCTCCCCCTGGGGCGCTCACTCTGGGTGGAGTCTGCTCCCCAGCTGCCAAGGCCTTGTGCAGACATTTCCCAGTGTTGACAGCCTGGCTGGTACAGTCACTGTGCCCCAAAAGCTCACCCCCCCGCCAGGGCGGGGCGACCCAGGAGTGATCAGGCAGAATCCTTCAAACCAGCTCCACTTCCCTCCAGCCCCTTCCTGCCTCCCTTCCCATGACACCAGAGGTGATGCAGAGGCTGGGTGGACAAAGAGAACTGGGAAACAGATCTGGGGACGGGAGCTTACCTCTACCATCCGAGGACCCTGCAGTGGCTCCTCCAGGCCCTGGAAGAAGTGGGGACACACTGGATGCGGGGGGAGGGCAGGCAGCACCATTCTGGGATACATTCACTTATTCTTGACTCTGCCCCCAGGTGTCCCCTCAGGCTGCTGCTCCCTCCCCTGCAACCCAACCCCAAGCCTCTCCTTCACCACCAGCCTTCCACAGTCAGAGAGGGAAGGTGCCAGCCGAGGTCACACAGCAAAGGGGCTTGTCCCTCCTAGGACACCCAAGGACTGGAGTCCCAGGGCCGGGACAGGCGCAGTGCGAGGAGCTTCATCCTGCTCACTCAGCTCAGGCCCTGAGGGGCGGAACAGGCCAAGGTGGAGGCCTGCAGGAGATGCTGGCCGGGGAACAGAGCAGGCTCCCTCACACCTGGTTTGGCACAGGGGTGGGGCTGGATCTATTATTGGTCTTAAGATAAACTCCAGGCCTTTGGGGTATGGAAAATTAAATGTGGAGCAGCAATCAGAAGTTGGTATGAAAGACTGCTTTTGTTTCTAGACAGTCATCCACCATGAGGTCATGGGAGAGGGTCAGCATAGAGCCTCCAGGAGGAGGGGCGGACAGAAGTCTGACAGACCCAAGGGTGGGAATGGGGGCTCTCGGGGGCAAGGCCTGGGCCCAGCCACCCCTCTGCCTTAGAGCCGATCACGCTCAGACCAACAGGCTTTGGGTGCTGGTGGGCGAGGTGAGGCCGGGTGTGTGGGCTTTGCCAGGGAAGGTTAGAGCTGCTGGGCAAGCCAGGTTCACAGAACAGGTTGCCTGACTGGGACGGAGGCCACACTGACAGCCTCTCACCTGCGGGTGGGGCTGTGGAGGGGGGAGCATCTTTGGGGGTTTCCTGCGGGATACCCGGAAAGGCGAAGGCCTTGACCCACAGAGCTCCAGCGGACAGGAGAGATTTGGTAGTACAGGGGATGGTCTTTGAACCCATGACTGGAAGGGAAGGGGGTCTCAAGTGTAGTCCTACCCCAAAGGCTCCCTCCACATACAGGAGAGCTGGCAGGCCGAGCGAGGGGGCCCAGGAGCCCAGGGCCCAGACACGGACTTACCTGGCCAGAGATGGCAGCCAGCACCAAGAGGCCAGAGCAGGTCAACAGGAAGGTCACCAGCACGGAGGGGTTGACTGCAGCTGGTGGCAGGCAGGGTCCTCTGTACTTCTGGAATACACAGCCTTTCATTCGTGCCCCTGAGGGGCCTCTGCCCCAGCACCCTGAAGACCAGCCTGATACCCACACCTGTGCTGGGTCGGCCCCCACGCTCCACACGTCCACCTCGAGGGCCCTGGGAGACGCTCCTGTCAGGATGCCTGGCCCATTCCCACGAGTATTTCTTAGGGAGGGAAGGTGATGCCAGCCTTGTTCTCCCGCGCTGCCACCGTCACCTCGGGGTCCTTGTAGACGTGAGAGAAGCGGGTGGGCTGAACGAGGCCAGAGCCTGGGGGCTGAGCTGGCTTGGGTTTCCTGGCCCACCCTAAACCAGGCCGTGGGGCCTCGTGCGAGGCCTTGCACGAGGCATAGTTCAGACACACCCAGCAAACGCAGTAGCTGTTGGGGGGGGGCATGGGGAAGGGAACCCACACGCCTAGCGTGGTCTCTCTGGAGGTGATGTGATAGTAACTGCGACATGTGAGGAGGAGGGGTCTCCCTGTCAACGTGAGCCGGCCGGTGGCCATCAGGCTGGATGGACACCACCAGGGTCTGCAGGATGGCCGAGGGGCTGGGCCTGGGGGGCCCCGGGGGCCTGGGAGTACCAGCTCCCTCACACAGACCAGAGTCTTTCCAAAGTGCATCTTCTTCTCCTGTGGGCAGGATGGGGCCTGCAGGACACTCCCCCTGGCCCACCACCAGAATTACACAGACTTAATTCTCAGCAATCCTGCAGCTGTGCAGCCCCATTCTCCAGATAAGTAAACAGAGGCCCAGCAAGATGAACATGTAACACTGCTGGTGATGCCTCCTGCCCCTCCTCCAGCACTCCGTTCATGCTAACCCAGTACCTGTGAACCTGGTGCTGTTACCCCATCTCAAGGCTCAGGAGAGGGAGGCAGAGAAGTTAAATGGCATGTCCAAGGTCACAGAGTCACAAGGCTAGGCTCAAACCCCAGCCACCTGACTCCAGAGCCTGCATTCCTGACCACCTCAGCCCCGCAGCAGGGGCGGGTCTAGGATCTGCTCCTGAAAGGCGGGAACCCTGCTGCACCTTCTGCCTGCCAGGGGTCAGGGTTTCGGTGGTGGCGGCGGCAGGGCAGTGAACAATCCAGCCCATTGGCCAGTGGTTCTCCAGGGCCTGGAGGCCAGCGGCAGTGCTGTGAGCTGGCCCCCCCAACCCCAGCCGGGACACCCAGCGGGCGGGGGAGGGGCTCGGCTCCAGCTGCGCCTGCGGAGGGGGAGGCAGGCAGGGGTGGCACTGCCTCTAAGCGACCTCACTGGTTAAGAAAGGAACAGATCCCTTGCCTGCCCTTCTTCCCTCCGCCTCAAGGTGCCCTTCAGGGCAGGAGGGGCCACTGGCCACCAGGCCATGGCTCAGACGGTGAAGGACCCATGGGAACCACTGGGGCTAGGTCCCAGAAGGAGAGCAGGACCCCTGGCTACTTCAAGGCCAGCTCCAGGGCTACCATGGCGGCCCTATCTCCTGTCAGCCTAGTGGACGAGAGACTCGGCTTCCTTGAGGGGCTCTGTAAACTTCCTGTTAAGGACAGTCAACGAACCGGGCAAGACAGTCTTGTTCAGCGGGAGCCTAGCAGGCACAGGAGGGGCCAGAAGCAGACAGAGTTCAGCTGGGCCCAGGCCTGGCCCCTGGAGGGACAGCAGGCTGGGGGAGGGGTGTCATTCGCCAGCCGCAGTGAGGGAGCTCAGGTCCACGTCCCTCAGCGCCCGGGGACCATCTGCTACTCCTGGCGCTGTACGTGGGCTCCTGCCTGGAACCACAGGTGCCTGACGCTGGCCTGAGGTAAGGAGGGTAGAAGGAGAAGCACCCGTGGCCAAATGCAGGCACCTAAGCATGGGGGGCATCGTGCCCAAAAGAGACCACAGGGGCCAAGAGCTTAAGCAAATGTCATCCTGGGACATCTTGTCCACTTAAGTCATACCTTATCCCTACCCTCAGCTCACAGCCTAACGGAGGCTCCACAAACAGATGTCAGTGCTGTGGGGAGGGGGCCCGGCCCAGCCCGGGGCATCCAGCAGAGCTGTGTCTGCCAAGGAGACCCATCCAGGACGGAAGAACCCACAGGTCCAGGTGCAGGGCCCAGGAGCTGCCGGCTGGGTGTCCACCCAGGGGCCAGAATGGGACAGCCCTGCAGATGGCTGTGCCCTGGGTCCCCTAGGGCTGGGAGGGGGGAGTGCCTGGGGCAGGGGTCTGAGGACCTCTCGGAGACAGACTCAAGGTCCTGGGTACCTGGAGCAGGAAGCACATGAAAGCGCCCTGCCCAGGCCAGGTAAGAACGTGGAGGATGCCCTCCGAGTCCAGGCTACTGGTGCTGCAGCCCAGACACCATCTCTCCTTAAATAGGAGGTGAGTTGGCAGGGAAGGCCCACTGTTCCCTTCCTACTCCCTCCCACCCCTTACCAGATGTGAAGGAGAGCAAAGGCTTTCTTAGGACACACCCCATCCAGGTTCTCTAGCGCCGGGAGGG